AATTTAACACATCATTTTTAAAAAATCAAAAAAAATAGTTGAACTTTTCAAAATAATTATTTTTAAAAGAAAAATGTTACCTATCGAGGTCCCACTGTAAAACCCATGCCCCAGTCAGCGATGCAAGACGAAAAGGCTTCGGCCGTCACTCATTCAAGCCATTCATTCAGTCACTCAATAATTCGGCAGTTGTACGTCTTTTACTACTTCTGGCCGCGAGAAAATTGCAACAATTTGCCATTGTTGCAGTACGATTTTTACTCCGTTTGCTGCAATTAATTGACAAACGGAGCCCCTCGACCCTCGGATCTTTGACTTGAACCACACTCTCTTTGGAGTTTGAGTATTTGTGCATGCAAATTGTATTGAACTGATTCCCACGAACGTTTCGCCTCGGCCAGATGGTTTCGATTTGATTGGACCAGTTCAGTTCGTTCTTCGACCAGAAACTCGGTTTTATATCGGTTCCGATCGGATCTCCAGAGGCATGCAAATCATTCGCGGAATGTTTTTGGGGGAAGAAACATTTCACATTCGCACTGTTCTCAACTCGGAATTGGCATTGGATTGGGTGTGGGAATTCGAGTCGAGTGTGATGCATAATCACTTTGGACGTGGCCCAAACAATTCGGAAATTGGCAACCATTGCAGAAATTCGCAAGGTATTGCGCTATTCAATTTGTAAGTGGCGCCAGCAAAAAAAAAGGGGAAGTGTAGAGGAATTTAAAAGGGCGAGGAATAAGTTTAAGTACTCTAGACAATATAATAGTATCAAGTGGAGCTCATGAATCTTTCGAAAAAATTATTTTTTTAAATTTTTTAATATTTTCAATATATTTACAAAGTGAAACAAACATTTTTTAAAAATACTTTCCTTTTCCTTGCTAGCAATAGTAGTATCAATTTGTATGCATCTAAAGAGGGTACTATACCACAGATAATAGAATTTTCACAAGTCCAGTTGTAAGAATCTTTAGAACTCGAAACGAAATCGAAGACCCTACCAAAAAATGTTCCCAGTTTATTTCAATTTTCCCGTTTTCTCTCTGTTTCTTACCCCATCCATTTACCAAAAAAGAACCACTCTTATTTGCAGATGATCTTTAGCCATGCGCCAACTCATTTGTTGTTTGCCCGCTCAAGAACTATATAAATAAACGAAAAGACTTCAAGTACTTCCAAAACAACAAATACGATGGGTCTTGACCTACGGCAAAGATGAAACGAAATATTAATATTTCCTAATCCATTGTAATTATGATTCCCTACCATTGTTTGTCGCAGGCAATGTAACCTTCGGATAAAAAGACAACAAACAGTTCGCAGCGAGGTCTTTTCAATAGATCAAATTACCAAAAAGATATGTCAATTCCTCACGTAAAACGCGATAAGAGATCTGCGTCAAAAGGGGAATAGAAATAGGAAAAGTAAAAAGCAATAACCGACATCTAACCACAGAAATATCGACTACCGCCTGTCTTTTTTTTCCCCCGAAAAACCTGGGCCTCTAATCTCTGGCAGGGGATTATAGTTGGTCCAATCAGCGGCAACGCCTGCGGCTAATGAGCTGCCGTCTGTTCCAGGGAATCCCGCAAGAAACCAAAGAAAAAACATTTTAGGCATCCACAACGTACGCCCCTGATAATTACTCGGTTCCAATAAAAAAAAAGTCACTCCAAAACAATAGACCAGATGATCGGTGTTAAGCTGGTGATCTTGGCGATCTTATCGCAGCCCTAGATGTGTGTTATGACTTTTACTTTTCTTTGTCACGATCGTGGTGTGTCGCTTCAAATCAAAGCAGCAGATTAATAATTCTGGGCCCCCACCCATCCCTTTTTATCCAGCCATCGTTTGCGATCGGAAAGATGACAAGAGTCGGTGGAAAAATCAAAATCAAATTAAAAGACAGCAATCAATAATTTGACACGACTTGGGGCGATCGACAAAGGCACAAAAGACCACAAGGATCTATACACGGTAAGAAATATTTAGTAGTTTTACTTGGTTTTAAAATGAATTGAATGGATGAATTTGTTGAGCTGGTGCAGGCCATACAATCAGCAAAGAATAACCTATAGATGTTGAACTATGATCAAAAATTAATGTTCTCTATATGATTTAGATTGTTCGTCTATATCTTTAGGTCTTGAATTTATTTAAATATTTTCAAGTGCACTGTGGATCGTTTGTCGGTGTCCCGTTGTTCCAGATGGGTCTTGAAGTGAACCTGGCTGTGATCTTGAAGCTCTCTGTAGATTTGTACGACTTTTGCGACATTTTGTATGAGGCGATGGATCGATCCGTTCCGATCTGCTCCTCTCTTTCCCATTTTTGCACTGATCCGGATCCCCTCCCGCTCCCATGTCGCCTGCTATGTACAACATCAAGTTTTATCGCTGATCGTGATCATGTAATTCCAGCCCACGCATGCGCACTCGGCGCTCGCTTCGAAGGAATCAAGTTTAGCGCATTCTTATTCGACTGAGACGCAGATGGAGATGGAGACTTCGGCTTCGTCTTCGACTTCGACTTCGACTGGGACTGGAACTGGGACCTTGTGACAGATGGTTGTGAGGCTTCAAGGCATTCCCTTGGATCGCCCAACCCAACTCAGTCCAGGAAAGGAACCGAAAGGAAGGGCAAGGATAGGACAGGCAGGAGCAAGAGGGACTGGTTCCTCCATTTTCCCTACACTTTGGAAAATTTAATGCCACAAACTTAAGGTTTGGTTATATTTGGTAATATATTATTAAACGCTACAAAGATTTAACACGTTTTGATATTTCTTTTCGATTTAATTTTTTAATTTTTCATTAAAAGCGTTTTATAGAACTCTTCATCAGTATTACCAACATTTTTTAACAAGGGATAATTGAAAAAGTTACCTTTTAAGCTTAATCGAAATTTTCGAAACCCTTTTTGCCAAGTGCAGCTAGCTTAAGCCTGTGCGATCTTTATGTAAACTGGTACTTGAAATTTGAAATCATGTACCATTTGCCTTGAGACAGACAACGATACTTGGGATGGGATGGGATTGGGGACCTGGCAATGGAGCCTGGCAATCGATGATCGTGTCCCTGAAGAGGAGACAGGAGATGCTCGAGAACCGACGATCGAGGCGGCACAGGAAACGAGCATTTAAAAGCGCGACTATCGAAATATAACGACATTAAGCCAGGCTTTTCATTTAAAGGAAGCTTGTGTCAATACGACGGAGTTTACCTTGGAATGTGCAATCGCGATTACTAATCTTTTGATGGCGCCGCCATTCAGGATGATCTGGGGATCATCCTCGCGATGATCATCATCATCCGCAAGTTGGCCACTAAGCGACATAATTGCTACCGTGAGACTGAATATCTCGGGGCCCCAGACTTGAGTTTCCAGACTCCCGGATCATTAAAAGCTGCGATCCTAATGCGCTCCAATCAAACACACGCGAAACGAGCGTATGACATGTTTGTGCATTATTAATCACGATAATATCTGTATAAATGGTAGAAAACTGCGAGTCCCGGCCAAATTGCAATTTAATGCAAAAATAAATTGCACTCGGAGCTGGACTGGCCTTTTTGTTTTTGTTTTTTTTTTACCCAGCCAACCGGCAGCCGGAGAGCTGGCAGCTCCCATGATTATTGGTCATTTACTTGCGCCGTTTAGCGCATTAAAATCCAGTCCCCCCACTGAATCCTGAGCTCCAGACTTCTTATATAAAGAATAAGGAAATAATTGACAGTTGAAAAGTCTCAGCTATGATTGCGGTTGTGATTCGAATTGTGATTGGGTTTGCTATGCTAGCGTATTTTTGGATTCTTCTGGCAGCATTCTTCTCTCGCTCTTTCTTCTGCACTTCTTTGGGGATGGCGTGCGAGGAGAATCATTTCAATCAACTGGCATTGCTTGGGGCTGAAGAAATCAACGCGTTGACTAATGGCCACAATTTGCAAGTGCTAGCAGGTTGATGCACTTGGAAAAAAGTTTCGCCTATTACAAACGGAGGTTTTATGTATAATCATTTCTTGGAACCCCTTTCAAGGTGTTTCTTCTTGACCGCTCATCAAAACTCCTTTTAAGATCGTTAATATTTAATAGATTAAACCATTGTTCCATATTTTTACTAGAAATTTCACGGCTGCTTTAGAGGTTAAGAGAACAGCTGGTTTATGTTTCGTTATCAGGAGATCGAAGTCCTTTTATAATTGCCGATCATTCTTGTTTGGTTCTGGAGAAATTGTTTTTAGAATATTTTTTGGAATGTGCTGTTTTTATGGAAGAGTAAATATTTGAATATTAAATATAAAATTACTTTCTGAAAACCCAACTATACTCTTAGGCCAGGGTTTATGATTACCTAATGTGCAAAATAGTTGGAACTGGTAATTTTAGCTTATTGGTAAATTTATATTTTTGGCATTAACTGTGGCTTTGCCTAAATCTATATTTAAACCGTAGTGTTATCCGACAAAAACCCTCAATATCCAAGGTTACTTTGCGAAAACGCCAGAAAGCCTGCGAAATTTCCTAGGAAGAATCATAAACAACTACTTGCAAAAATTATAAAAATAAACGTAAATAATCAAAGAAGAGCGAGATGGCGAGAGAAGAGATAGAGGGAGAAGGCATGAGCGGGCGGAAAAGAGAGGGCGGGAAGAACACCCACTCAAAATCCAGGCATATTAACCGCAGAAACCGGTTCTCTCTTTCTCGCATCGTACGCGATCTCTCTTTGTCTCCGATTTGAGTTTGTGTGGGTGAGGCGAGAGAGAGGGAGTAAAAGGTGCTCAAAAATACACTGACAAAACGAGTTTGCACCTGGCCGAGGTACACAACTCCAGTTCTCTGATCACTCTTTTTGTAGGTGATCTTGTGGGCGATTCTCTCTTTTACTCTCGCAGAGAGAGATCAGCAGCGGTGAGAGAGCCATAGCGATCAACAAGTGAGCGCAGGTCCGTGATATGTCCGCAGAGCAATGGACTTTTAGTTATTCCGTGATCTTTTACCAATATTGTGTGCAGCGACGGCTGATCGACGTCAAGAGAAGAAGAAGAAGCAGCCGAATCAGAGAAAATAAACAAATATAGTAATATATATATGTCCTAACACGTGTGTGTGTCTGTGTGGGTCAAGACCGGAAGTCTGATTAAACGGAAATCAAAATATAGAAACTAAAAATCATCTCAAAGATCGTTTACTTAATTTTTCGCGTGTGCCAGCAAGCCAGCCTGCTGAATTACTATATTATTTTATTTGAAAAATCGAAAAAGCGTGCCTGCCAATTTGACTTATCTTGCTGGAGACTGCATTTTGTTGTTTTTCGTTTTTGGCCAGACGTCAAATTCGATTTTTATGACTTTTGAAAGCGTGACTAAGACGTGATTTATGATGGCGTGTGGTTTTTAATATTCATGTGGACGCGCTCCGAACCTCTCAACCTGCGTAGGTGCGCCAAACAATAAAAATACAAAAAAATCACCACGGCAAGCAGCAACATCGCAGCCTCGAGGCTTTATCCCGATATCCAGCTGAGTGTGTGCGTGGATTCGACTTTTTTATGGAGGCAGTTAAGCATTTGAGTGCCGCTGCTGCTGCTGCTGCAGCTGCAGTTGCAACTTGCAGCGATATGCCGGCCAAGGCAGCAACAACGCCAGCAACAACAGCCGATATTGCCGAGGCGCTAAGCGATCTCGAGGCAGGCACAACAGCAGCAACACTAGCCAGCACCGCAGCAACATCGAAGCACAGCAACAAGGCAAGTGCAGCAGCAACACCCACAACGGCACACAAGAAATCCCAAGAGGGTTGCAACAACAGCAACAGCAAGTGCACGCCAGCAACATCGTCGATTGGCAGTAAAACCAGCAACGCTGCCATGGCAGCTGCAACAGCAACAGCGGCAGCAGCAACTAACGATCTTGCAGCAGCTGCTGCGGTCGTCCTTTCGCTGCAAGGAACCATGGTCAGCAGTCTGCAGCAGGCCGCCTTGCTGCCGGCCAATTCGGCAGCAGCGGCTGCGTTGAATCTCCAGGCCCTGGAATCCTATTTGGCACTGCAGCGACTCACCGGGAAATCGGATGTATTTCGCTTTTCCAGCAGCAATGCCAGCAACAACAGCAGCAGCAACAGCAACAGCAACCATGCCGCGACCTGCAACAGTAACAGCAACAGCAGTGAAACGGAAACTAACACCTTGCCCTCGCTAATAGACATTGCCAATATAGAGCTCAAGTCGAGTTGCTCATCGAGTTCCTCGGGGGAACCCCCTTTGACGGCAGCAGCAACATCAGCTGCTGCTGCTGCAACATCTACGTCCGGCAGCAACTCTACCAGCACGTCAGCAACATCCAAGTGCCTGCCACTGCCGTCGATTGGTACCGTTAGTGCTGCTGCTGCAGTTGCGGCCGCTGCGGCTGCTGCAGCAGCTGCTGCGAACCAACAGGCGGCACTCGATTGCGCAACTGCCGCAGAACTGGCTGCAGAATGCGATTTACCCCTGCTGGATGGCGAGGATGCATTGTCCTTTGAGGCCGGAGATTTGGACAGCAGCTATGGCAGCTTTATGTTTAATCCATCGGCCTTTAGCCAGGCGGAAACGGACTCTGGTCTGCATTCCCTTCAGGCCACCATGTATCAGGACAAGATGAATGTCATTTCGGGGGCGACGGGAGCCGGAGCGGTAGGGGGCGTGGAGGAGGCGGGCAGCTCGACGGCAGCAGCGGCGGCAGCGGCTGCACAGCGGTCTAAAAAACAATTCATCTGCAAGTTCTGCAACCGGCAGTTCACCAAGTCCTACAATCTGCTCATCCACGAGAGAACCCACACGGACGAGAGGCCCTATTCCTGCGACATCTGCGGCAAAGCCTTCAGGCGACAGGATCACCTGAGGGATCATAGGTAGGTCGGGATCTTTACTTTAAAAGCAACAACTAGTCCAAGCTGAAGTTTGTTTTCAATCAGTTTGTTTAAAGACATAAAAGAGCCTTACTACGCATTTTCCATAACTATATATCGTGTAAAGAAGATGTTAACATATTGACTTGTTAACATCATTGTTAATTTTGCCTTTGAGTGTTCTCTTAAGAAATATTTGGTTATTTCCACATATCTTTATCCATCTTCAATATAATCTCACCCACTATTCCTTTCCCTTATTTATGTATTTCACAGATACATCCACTCCAAGGAGAAGCCCTTCAAGTGCGCCGAATGCGGCAAGGGATTCTGTCAATCCCGAACTCTGGCTGTCCACAAGATCCTGCATATGGAGGAGTCGCCGCATAAGTGCCCCGTGTGCAATCGCTCCTTTAACCAGCGATCCAATCTGAAGACCCACCTGCTTACCCACACCGATATCAAGCCTTACAATTGCGCCTCCTGCGGGAAAGTTTTTCGACGTAATTGCGACCTGCGACGTCATAGCCTAACTCATAACTTAGCAGCCGGAGTGGGCGGCGTTGTGGGTGGTAACCTTAGTGATCTATTTGGCTCCGGTTCCAATTCCAGTTCCGAGCTGGGCTTGCCTACGGGATCCACCACCACTTCCGCATCCTCCAGAGACCTGGTGGCCGTCAGCGATTGATCTTCCAACTCTATACTATATAATACCCACTCAATAAAATTAAATCTCATTCGCAGCTCTCATGAATACGAATCCCTCCATTTCGTAATCGTAATCGTACTTACTGAACAGCATTTAGTTTTTTCTAAGTTTAGTCTTAGTTACTTTGTTTTAAGCCTTGGATATTTGTGACGTAAGCTTAGCAGGAAAGTTTGACTTTGTGTAAGGCACTTGATATGTTTAGAAAGTAAGTTAAATTGTGGACTCTTTTTGTACTATCGAATAAATGATAATAGCTTAAAGGAAATTCTGAAAATGTTGTTTATTTTTGAGGTGGGCTTTGCGGCTATTGCTACAAAGATCTTAAAGATCTTAAATTTTTAAAGAATTGTAGGTAATTTTTAATATGTTCAGCTTAAGTTTTACCTCATGTAAAATGTTTCTTGAGTAGATATACTGAAATTTCTGTGAACGTTAAACCCTTTTCTCACCCTTTCTACCGCCTCGATTGTACTCTTGTACTTACAGTATTTACCCACTTGTAGCTAACTAAAATCAAATATTTGTACCGATGTTTATCGCCCGAGTGCCAACAAGGGCAATTAATGTACCATTAAAGGTGCACACCTTCAAACACCTATCGTACACCTTTTCCAACAAGCCTTTGACAACAAACAAGAATGACAATACTGAGGCTAAAACAAAGAAATATTTTCCCACCATTTCCAGGTTTGGTTTTCCAGGCTGTTCCACATTTTAAGTCAAATAATGTAGTACATGTCGGTTGACAAGTGGAGCAGGCGCTATCTCATCGATCGAGTGGACCACCCACATAAGTATATATACACACAGATATTGGGCCACCCTATTTCCCGCACTTGAAGGAAGAACCAGATAATTTCGGGCGTGTCCGCTGAAAGAGTTTGAAAGAGATTTTATAGCGAAAAGTGGGCTGTCCGTTCCAGAACAAGGGTGGAGCTCCAGCTCCACCAGACTGCCACAAAGTTTACAATTTTTATTATCGACTACAAAAAGATGCGGCCATAACGACACAAACACATACAGTGCACTTCAAAAGGGAACGCCGACCGGGTTTCCTTCCATGGTCATCTTACCCCTTTACTTTTTTTTATTTTTTTCCTTAACTCTTACTTCCCGAAAAGAGATCGCCGCGTTTGTCAATCGTTAAACGGATCAATGTAAAGCCGCCTGCAATGTTGTCTTTATGGGGCCTTTGCTGTTGCTGTTGCTGTTGCATTTCCTGTGCTTCAGCTACACCAAACCAATTACAACGATCAAACAACAATTATGGATGAGTCCGAGTTTTGAGTCCCAGTTTGAGTCCGATTCTTGACCAGAGATCGCGGCTCAGTTCTGGTTTGTTTGTCGTGGCCGGCTCTTCTGCCCCAACTTCCCTCCTCGGGTGGTTAAACATTTTAAACACGACCTGCTTGCTGCTCTCAGCAAATATTTGCGCGGATATTGTTCTATTCAATGGAACAAGCGTGCAAGCGACACTGAGAAAAATAATACAAATATATAATTAAAAAACTGCGAAAGACTAATGACATAAATCTACTTTAAATTTAAATAATAGATAGTTTTAGTTTCTCAAAAATAAATTTAAAACAATTTCCCTTTAATTTACCTTAGCAGAATTAAATAGAATTTTACGGTTTTATTTTTTAATCGTTTTTAAATATACAAAAAAAAGGTTCAATCATTTTTTCGAGTGCATTGACATCTCCCATTAGTCCAGGCTCTAAACAGCCTCCAAAGACTGAAAAAAACCCCGAGAATGGAGCGTCTCTGGGAATTGCCAGCAATTTCACACTTTATGCGCGACGGCTTCATTTCCACAGAGTGTGTCCCCCAAACCCTTTCCGCCCCTTTCGTTGGTCCCCAAGCCCCAAAACTATATAGTACTATCCAGCTCATCCTCCGGCCAAGAGTTGGACATTCTTCCCAAGCGGCGCGTGCGGGAAGAGCGGATGTTTGAACGCTTTCGAGTTGCCAGTTTGGAGTTTACGAACGCTCCAACGTAGCTCCAACCGGCTGTTGGACCGTATTGATGGGAAAATTATGAAATTCATTGTTTGTGTTTGACTAATAATTATGACAGCAAACGCATTGTCGTCATAAATGCGAGGGGACAACCCCGGAAAAAGGGTCGATGGAGCAGGGGCTGCGGAGGAGGCGGGAGCGCACTAAATTCGCTTTGAGGTTTCCGCACCGCCCCAGCCAAAAAAAAATAGAAGAAGAAAACAGTCTGACTAACTCTAATAAGCCCATCAACGGCAAACGACAACGCGGCAACATTCCACCTTCGATCTGCAACACTTACAGTAACAACGACAACGCAACAGCAACTTTGCACGGAAAAAAGAGTCTAGTAATAAATATAAAAAAAACATTTTTTTTAATTTTTTTCGAAATTTTGAACTATTTAAAGAATGATAATCCCAAGAGTAAAAGTTAAATTGCCAAAAAACAACGAAGTTATAATTTTTTACACTTCAAAAAATTCTTTTTTGATGCTTTCTATGGGAGCTATAGGATATAGTTATTCGATCCGGCTAGTTCCGACTTATATACTACCTGCAATAGAAATAAGACTTTTGTGAAGGGTTCATCATCATCATCATTTCTCTTAAACAGAGAGACTAGTTTGCGGAAACGGACAGACGGACGGACAGATGGACGGACAGATGGACGGACAGACGGACGGACAGACGGACATGGCTACATCGACTCGGCGAGTGGTGCTGATCAAGAATATAAAGACTTTTTGGGGTCGTAAACGTCTCCTTCACTGCGATGCAGGCTTCTGACTGAATTCAGATCACTATTCATCCATTCCAAGTCATACACAGCTTTTTCTCTCGGTGTACCAACAACACCATCCAACAATGTTGTTGTCTAGTGTGCGAGGCGTGGCCGTTTCGAAGATTCTTTGAAGTTGGCTATTGCTTTTGGTCAAGGTGTTGTTGTGTAGCTTTGCTTTGGTTTGGTGGACAGAGATGGCAAAGGAGCATGCTGATGATGGGGCAGATGATGATGGCTAAGACAAGAAGAAGAAGGGAAACATTTTGGTGCGTTGTGAAATTTTGTTGCGTTTCCCGGAACCAACGCAAAAAAAGCGGAACGTTCTCGTTGTCGTCTGGTTGTTCGACTCTTTTCGGTTGTTTAGTTGTTTGGCGATGTCTTTTTGGGGCGAATGTAAATGTCAGGGGGCTGTCGGCTGGTTTATTTGGTTATTTGGCCACTCTGCCATTTTGGCTCCGGCCAGTTAGTTTGTCGGCACCATTTGCTTTATGATTTGATGTATGTGGCTGTCCGTCCGGTCGTAACTACGCCAATAATTTTGACCTGGCCGCATAGGGACCTCAATGGGAACGAATCCGTGTTTGCTCAGCGCTGATATACGCACCAACAAGGCACTGGTCTTATTTTGTACTATTTTCTAAAACTAAGAATAATCTTATTTATTACAGATAATCTGGTATCTCAAAAAGTATAATAAAATACAACTCTTTTGTAAAATTCCAATTTGTTTATACCATAAATGTAAGAAAATTTTTACTAACCATTAATATAATTACATGTTTATCAAAACATTGGTTTTTATAAGAACGTAATTTTGATTGTACGTAATAACGAAATATAAAACTTAACAGTTTTACGAAATTTGGAGATTTACTTTTTGTTTTCTGTGTAAGAAAAGCGCCTCTTACTCTTTTTTTTGGGCCAGTCGCCGGCGTTCGCGGATTCGAAAACTCTGAAGTTGAGTTGAACTGAGGAAAACGTATATTTCTGGCGGCGTTCTTCTGCCTAATTAGGTGCCATCTCGTAAACGGTTTCGCATTTTTGTTGTTTTTTGTTCAGTTTGCTGATAGGTTTCTAAAGGGGTAATTTACAAGATTTTTTTTGCTTTACACAAAAGGAATGCGGGAGGTAGACATAGGTGGCTCGAAATATAACAGAGTAATATTATTATTCAGTACTAGAACCGCCTAACTTGACAATTAAAATATAAAAATAACTTCTATCCCTTACCAACACTTTCAAATCTGTGAATCAAAATTTTAATTTAGTAAAATTACAGATATTATTTCTAAGACATTTTATGGACAGCAATAGTCATTGTAAGGGACTCATTAACTTATATTGTCAGTAAAATAGTTATTTTACCCATTTTATGAATTCCACGAATTCTTTCATTAAACCTACCCCCAAATGCCCCATCTATGTAGATTTACCCACACCCATGTCCTCACAGCTGTCTCCCAGACACCTCGTCTCCATCCGTGTCCCCCGCCTATACCACCCACCCATAAAAGCCCTTTGACAACCGACAAACGATCATAAAGCTAGAAAAACTAAATTTCTGGAACTGCAGTCGCCGCCGCGTCTTTGTGCCAATGTCATCATACAGAAGAAGAAAAGCTGCCGAAAATCGTGCAAGTGAATAGAGAGACCTTGCTTATAAGGTCTGCTGTTGGGCCCTTACAACACCAGAACTCGTCAACGGAGGGGAAGGGAAATGGAGAGGGTGAACGGTGTCCCCAAGTGGTTATTAGATTTTATTGGACGGGACACTTTTGCCGACGGGGAGTTGGGGCACTTCCACAGAGTTCTACGGTTCTCCAGAGTTCTCTTACGTTGCGGCAGAGAACTAAAGCATGCATATGAAATCCAACTCCTAGGTCACTACACCTAAAAAAATATTGTATCAATGGGGTCGATTTATAATGATATATATCATATTATAATTTTGCGGTTTTTAAAAACCAATAATTTAAAACTTAGGTATTTAGTTGTACAATTATGTATCAAAAGGTATTTGCTTTTCTCATATCGTTTTCAAAGAATACTCCCTTTCTTTATAGTTGTACGACAAAATTGTTATCCTAGTACGCTTCATTAATTTTGATTTCTTGTAAATATGATCCAAAAACGTCCAATTGATATAAAATCTTAGCATACACATTGATTTTCCCATAATATCCCGGTTATTTTACAAACTTTTTTATATTCCTTAAGATGACAATTATGTCACTATTTTTCAGTGTGTTCCCATATGCCAGAACCTATAACTCTTGCGCGATGTCGGTTGTTGGATTTTATTGCAGGCAGGCGCAAATGCAAACAAATGCGACAAATGTCGAGTGCACACACATATTTAGAGTTGTAATTGACAGTCGGACGAGTGCAGTGAGGTGGTCTCCTCTCTCTGGAGTCCGATCCATACTCTGTACTCTCCGTAATCCGTACTCCGTACCGCTCAGTATTCCGTATTCCCTGCCTCGCATTTCGTATTTGCCCACGGCTTGTTTGACAACTTGCCGGGCACGTAGCGCGGAGCAGTCGCCGGATCGACTTGTGTACTACAACCTCACACGGTCGTCAAACAGTGACAGAAACAGCCCCACAACTGGACTATACACTGAAAGAAAATCGGTATTATTTGGCTTACAATACAACACAATATTACTTTTGGATAACGCATGAATCTTTTAATTTGTGATAAGAAGTGGCTCTTGATATAGCTAAACTTCATTCTTGCTTTTTATGATGCTCTTAATATCATCATGAATATTTTTAAGGCTTTAAATATATTTATGGGTATAGTTCACATCAGTGGCGGATACAGAATTTGGAGTAGAAATCAAAAGCTTTTGAATAAAATACATATTACCCATACTTTTTAATCCGAGTGGGGGGATCTATCCCCCATATTCCCCCGCGGGGATCCGCGCATGGTTCACATTGAGCTATCTTAATTTTGCCCATTTATTTTGACACTCAGAAAATAATTAAGTTACACATTTTGCTGATTAAGCTTTTAGGATCCTAAGAGCTATTTTGGATAACTACGTATTCTAATTATAAACTCCAGATACATTAGTATAAACTACTTTTTAATATGTTTTTGAAGCTTCATGGTACGAATTTAAATATTTTCGCCGAGTGCAGAGAAGAAAGCGAGAGAGGCAGTCAGATAATGGTCGAGCTTATCTCCCCACGTCGCCCACCCACCGCCACCCCTCCCCAGGCACTACTGCACCCCCTTCGCCACCCTGGACAAACACATTTAGGGGAAACGGGGGGTTATATGACTTTTCGGAAACTGATAAGCTCCGCTGAGCTGCAAGCTAATTGAGTGACGACTACGAGTACGCGGTTAAATTAAAACGAAATCATTTGCAAGCACACCCCTGAGATCCCAGCCCCCGGTACCTCGTCCCCTTTTAGCACCCCACCCCTTTTTACACACAGCCACCCCCACCTACATATATATATTTTTTTTTACCACGACTACTTCGTCGGCAGTCGACGATGATTAGAACCAAAACAATCAAACAAAACACATCAAAGAGCCGGTGCCGTCAATTTGTCATTAACGTAATATACTGACAAGATTGCTTTGCACGGATATCGCGGACGTTGGTTGACGTACTTATATATATGTAAGCACTATACCATACCGTACTATACCACGGTATAGGTACCCCTTAATATTTGTCAACAAACACAGAGTTGAGCGTTCGTGAAGGTGTTGTAATACTGTTAGAGTCGGCTATTTTGAGAGTGGCTATTAGTAGAGGGTAGTTGTAAATTTCCGTTTTTAGAGTGAAAAAATGTGACATATTTTCGTTGTTTTCCTTAGGTAACTTGCCTAAGATCTTGTGTGCCTAAGGATTAGCAATTTGTGTGGGATTTTTCTACATCATGAGTTTTCTGAGTGAAAAGACAGTGGGGGAAGGGATGTTTGGGGAGTGATTAATGCGACTTTGGATGGGATTTTTTATATTTTCTTATAGAGAGACCATTTATTATTCTTTAAAAATATATATTTTTTTAAAGTACCTGGCCGAACCAGCTTACAAAACCCTTTGAAATATTATATTGACTTCACTTTCACCCAAGACTCATGTATTTGCCTCAATTATCTTAAATCCGAGAAGAACATTCACCGACCAATTGAAGTTCATGTTGACGACTCCTTCTTTTTTTCTAAGCCGACAGTTGTGACATGATGACGTTCACTTTATGGTTAATTAGGTTGAGTCCCTGTTGGACGATTACGACACCTAATAACAACGTATGTAAGCTCCATGAATAGCTAAGTAAAAAGAGAAATATGATGTAGAGCCCCAGGCGGCTCTCCAATCACCATTTCAATTCATCCTCGGGCCGAATTTATAAAAACTCTAAGCCGATGCACACGAGCGATAGGCTGAAACTTATAAAACATATTGACACTGTGAGATATTTAAGAGATATTATATAATAGATACAAATGACTAACATATACAAAACTTTAAACATTTATAAATTAAAAACGTACCAATATATCATATGGTTTTTTTCTGTGTATAAAAGGGATAGTAATAAATTCCACGACGATACCTATACCATACCATTTCCTTAAAACCCAACAGATGCACATACAGGCGACCAGTCGACTCAATTATGGTTACGTAAGCCGTTTTGCGTTCAAAGATCAACGAAGCATATAACCAAATATATATCCCGGATTTAAAATTCCCGTGCCGGTAACCCCGACAACCGTTTTCGGATCCCTTCGGGCTGCCGATGACAGTTTACGAGTGGACACATATATATTTCACGCTTATCAGCACCCTTCCCTTTGGCATTTCAAAATGTGAGGGGACAAATTGCTTCTTCACTGTTATATCGGATATATCCTCTTCCTTTTGTTGCTTTTGCTGTTGATTAGCTTAATAATTTGTACCCACTTCGCACCCCATATTCAGAATTTCCCTCTCGATGAAACGGGGGATGTTTAATGATCTCCAGATGGGCGTGGCATGGTGTAGATTACAAGCGAAACAGTTGCTACTAATGGATGGTTATGGTTATAAGCAGGGTGGATTGCTCATGGCTCTATTTTTCGGGATGTTTTTCCTTGGCCACCATGCTGCGATAATTGAATAAACATTGGGGCGGGACAAGGCGCGTTAATGTTTGAAGTTTGCTAGGATTTTCATTCAGTTACCAGCTAAAGTGATGCATATCGTTGCTTTTATCTTCCATAGCCAACGGGGGCGTTACAACTTGATTCAAATCATGACTTTGGCAGTGTTTTGATTTTGTTCTTCTTTGCATATCTGAAATCGAAATCTTTGTTGACTTTTGAGGGAGATGAGCTTTCCAAAATTAAAACTCTAAAGAGAATCTCTTGATCTAGATGGCATAATCGAGTCGTTTTCCAGTTTTTAATTTAAAGACATTGTATTTGGATAGAAAAATATTATACATTTTGAAGTATATACAAAAAATCTGTGTGAAGTACCAAGCTATAAAATACTGCGCCTTCGCTTAACCCATCGTAATTAATTTGTTAGACTATCATCTACCACTAAATGGGAAGAAAGAGAAGCGTGAAATACTTTGTATATCCAACTCTCGGAGGAAAGCTTCTGATTCCAAGCCCGATTTCTCGACTTCTCTCTGATTGATGATCCCAACACGCGACTTCTTTGTACTAATAAATTCCCAGCAAAATTCAGACAAAATTCCTGGCCTCAGAGATAAGGTCCCCAAAAGCAGACACCAAATGAATCCGAATCCGATCATCAATGGATCGGGGAGAGCGGCTCTTCCGGTTGGACATTTGACAGTTGCAGCCATAAATAAGCGTACAATAATTTTGTAGCCCTTTGTTTGAGTGTAAACAAATTAGAAATCACACGGCCACAAAAAATTGACCACACTTGGCGTGTGTGTGAGTTGTGTTTACTTAACCACTGATAACAAAGTTGAAACAATAAACATTTTTCTCGCACAACAAAACACACAAATCCACTTAGCCACGCGCGTAGAAAGAAAGCCACCGATGGGAAGAAAGAACGGGGACCACCAGGTCCCAAAAAAAAGAAGGCAGCTCGACTCAGCTCGAGAAAGAATCGAGAAGAATTCCATATGATCGTGTGGTTGCGTTGGTGGTTCCACTGGCGTCATATAAGCCATGCGAAACAGACGGCAATTTATTGATGAGTTTATTGCAACCACTTCAGGGGGCACGGATCGAGGAGAAGCTGAGGGGAAGACTGCAGAATGATGCTCGATGATGTCTATGTCGTCGCATCGGCATCATCATCAGTTGATTCTTTGTATTATTTTTTGTTTTTTGTTTCGACGGCGGGGGACACAATTTGTAAATTTCGTTTTATGACAACGCGCGCCACGTAAAATAAAACCATCTGCGGTGGCTTCGTGTGTCTCCGCTGACAACCGAAACCGGCACTCGAAAAAAACACTGTATTCAATCTTAACCATATTTTGAAAATAAACCATATTATAAGTAGCTGATCTAGCCGAAGACTAAAGCCCATTTAAAAATCTTTAATATCAAAACATTCCATATAAACCTTTATATATATTGCATTTCATAAAAGGTAAAACAGAAAGAACGTTAATATTTAAAAAATAACATGATTTTAAAGAATCAAGTCTCCATTTTGTTTGATTCGGGGTATAGATAATAACATTTTGGAATCGCCTAAGCTCATGTTAAAGTTAAAGTATAAATTTTGTTCTCTACTAGCATTCTAAGATTACGAATGAAAGCTATGTTGAGATCCTTTCGTTATTCAACGTTGATCTTGATCTGTTGCAATTATGAAATACAAATGATGTCGAATCTGTTACAGCAGCAACTAGCTGAATTTATAAGCTTACATTGTTTCTGGATGCGGTTGTTCGGGTATTAGATCATAATACAGAAATTAAATAAACTGTTTTTTCATTCAAATAACACACCTAATAAAAATTATTTTGGGGCTCTTACTAAAGAAGGCCTTTTTACCTATGTATGTTGACCTATGATTTCAACTATTTTCATTCCTATAACGGACGTAAGTGAAACTCTTGTTTTTATCCAACACTGTACAAGAAAGTTTAAGACTACAAACTTTTTTCCCAGTGCAATCCAAACTTGAACCAAAGCCACGAGAAGATGGAACCAAAAATGCTAATTTAAAAAATTACGAGTTTCGTTCGCTTTTGGTCACACCTTTAAATGTTAACTTGATTTCAACCGAGCTGATCAGACTTGGCTTAGGTGCAGTGTTGTTGGGTTTCTGTGTTACTTTGAGAAGTCTTGGCGTATACGGTAGGTCCAGCTCTAACTGTTTTTTATCGTTAGACACGACAAGCGGCAAACTGCCGCTGTTTTTAAAACTCAGTTCCCCTGGTCTTCAAAAAATAAATAAAACAACGATGCGATATTTCTAACAAATATTTATGGCACAACCAATTTTTTTGTTCCTGTCACGAGGTTATAACAAAAGCTAAAAATATTAATGAATCTTAGAGCACGAGCAAAATGCAAATATGCTTTAAATTGAAAGAGGTAGTCAATAGAGTTGCTTTGGCCGTTAGCCTGACTTAAATATGATATATCTGTTTTTTATAGCAGTATGCAATTTAAT